TCAGGGGTGATTTGAATGCAATATTCCTGCTTCTTGGCAGAATGGGGTTGGACTGGATGGCCCATGAAGTCTTTTCCAACTCTTTGATTCTATGATTCTATGATTGTATGACTCTTTGCCTGCATTTATGGCAAGCATCCTCAGAGGTAGAGAGGTCTGTTGGAACTAGGAAAAAGGGTTTATATATCTGTGGAATGAACCCTTGTCTGCTGGAACTAGGTGTGAATGTTTCAACTGACCACCTTGATTAGCATTTGATGGCCTGGCAGTGCCTGGGGCAACCTTTTGCTGAGAGGTGGTTAGATGTCCTTGATTGTTCCCTTTCTGTTGTTTTGCTGTTGGAGGAAACAATCAGGCACATCTAATCACCTCTCAACGAAGAAATTCTATGATTATATATTCTACTACACCATTATATTGCAGAATTATTAGTAATATTACATGTAATATAAAAAAATATAACGGTCCAAGACAATGGAACAGATAAGGACTTGAGTGAGAGGACATAGCTTTTTGTTTTTAAAACTGTTATTATGCACTGTCTTCATTTTTAAATGCACTATAATGGTTCTTTTTGTTTATGAATGCATGTATTTTTATGGCACTGAATTGTGCCGACTGTGTATGCCGCTCTGAGTCGCCTTCGGGCTGATATGGGCGGGGTAGAAATAGTGCAAATAAATAAATAAATAAATAAATAATATTGTATTATTATTAGTATTATATTGTATTACATTATAATGTTATATGTATATACAATATATTATATTATTAGTAAAGCACAAGAGACAAGATATTGTGCTGTTACATGTAATATAAAAATATTATAATAATAATATTATTAATGTATTTAATATTTATTTTATGGAAAATATTTTAACTTTGGTATTTTACAGAGTGTTTTTAAATAATTATGTGTTTTCATTGCTTATTTTAGCACTGTTGTAACCCACCTTGAGCCACAAGGAGAGGCAGTTAAGAAAGATTATTATTATTATTATTATTACTATTATTATCATTATTATCTTTATTATTATTTGATACACAGCAAGATTGGTACACAGCAAACAAGATCACTCTGCTGGTTGTTGTATTGGATCACACACTGGACACTTCCCAAGTGTCTAGGACTGTGTGATGTATCGGTAAATAATGCGTGGAGATAATAATAATAATAATAATAATAATAATAATAATAATAATAATAATAATAATCTTTATTTATACCCCGCCACCATCTCCCCAACTGGGACTCGGAGTGGCTTACATGAGGCCAAGCCTGAACTACACTATAACAATACAAATTGCAGTAAAATAAACAACATAACATTAAAATGTAAAACATCAAAACATATAAAACAATATACACAGAGCATAGGAACCAAACTTAATAACAGAGAGCAAGTCGCATGTACATAAAATAATTTAAAAACTCCAGATGAGATAAGGGGGCAGAACTAATTGTACGGGGGAACTCATAGAGAGATAGAAAAATAAACAAACCTTCGTACATGGGGGGGGGGGTGGCCTTTTGCAGCTGACAGATGGGAATTTTGTCAGTGCCAATTGTTTTTAAGTGCAGGCCAAGGTCTTTAGGCACTGCACCAAGTGTAGCAACCACCGCTGGGACCACCTTTACTGGCTTGTGCCAGAGCCTTTGCAGTTTGATCTTTAAATCCTCATATCATGAAAGCTTTTCCAGTTGCTGCTCGTCAATCTTGCTATCACCTGGGATTGCAACATTGATTTTTTTTATTGATTTTTTTTTTTTTTTGGTCGTGTCAGGAGTGACTCCTGGCGTGAGAGAATTGGCCGTCTGCAAGGACGTTGCCCAGGGGATGCCCGGATGATTTGATGTTTTATCATCCTTGTGGGAGGCTTCTCTCATGTCCCCGCATGAGGAGCTGGAGCTGATAAAGGGAGCTCATCCGCCTCTCCCCGGATTCGAACCTGCGATTGTCGGTCTTCAGTCCTGCCGGCACAGGGGTTTAACCCACTGCGCCACTGGGGGCTCCATTGCAACATTGATGATCCATACTTGTTTGTTTTTTTCCACGATTGTGAGGTCAGGAGTGTTGTGCTCCAAAACTCAATCTGAACTTGGAAGTCCCAAATAATAATAATAATAATAATAATAATAATAATAATAATAATAATAATAGTTGTTGCTGTTGTTGTTGTTGTTTATTTTATTTATTTGTCGTGTCAGGGCAACCAGTCAATTATATTACATTTCTAACAGAACAAAGCAAACAAACAGAAAAAATATAAAATTTGTGAGTTTCGTAGTTGATAAAATGTCCTTTGAACAGTATCTGGTCACTTGGAGTGCTTCTGGTGTTGCTGCAAGAAGGTCCTCCATTGTGCATGTGGCAGGGCTCAGGTTGCATTGCAGCAGGTGGTCAGTGGTTTGCTCCTCTCCACACTCGCATGTCGAGGATTCCACTTTGTGGCCCAATTTTGAAGGTTGGCTCTGCATCTCGTGGTGCCAGAGCGCAGTCTGTTCAGCGCCTTCCAAGTTTTCCAGTCCTCTGTGTGCCCAGGGGGGAGTCTCTCATTTGGTATCAGCCTTTGGCTGAGTTTCTGGGTTTGAGCCTGCCACTTTTGGACTCTCGCTTGCTGAGGTGTTCCAGCGAGTGTCTCTGTAGATCTTAGAAAACTATTTCTAGATTTAAGTCGTTGATGTGCTGGCTGATACCCAAACAGGGGGTGAGCTGGGGAAGTCTCTGCCTTGGTCCTTGGGGACCTTGGGGTCCTTGGGGACATGAGAAAAGCCTCCTCGCAGGATTGCAAGACATCCGGGCGTCCCCTGGGCAACGTCTTCGTAGACGGCAGATTCTCTCGCCACAGAAGCGACCAGCTCAGAAGTGACCAGCATGTTGTTGTTATATTATTATTATTATTATTATTATTATTATTATTATTATTAAAAATATTGTGTACTTATTTAAATTCCAACCAACTATGACTACAACAATATTCATGGAAGTAGCTTTTCCAGATTCTGTTCCAAGTAAACACACTCAGGGTTTTTTAAAAAGCACCTCGCATCCATTCTGCCCTTACCTTTCAAGGGTCAACCGATCCGAGTGCTGCGTTTTCTCCTCTGCAGTCCGATTGACCAGTGGAAAAGCAGTGTTCCCATAACTGATATTATCTAATGAGAAAAGAAAACATGCATCTTAAATTATTGAAGTGCGAAAACAGCAGAAAATATTTTTTCATATTACAAATACATAGGCCAAACTGTCTCAAGAAGGGCGAAGGAATTTGTCCTCACCTTTAAGCGTAAATGGCTTATTTTTAGGATGGTCTTCGTGGACAAAAACTCAAGTTCATACAGGGAGATGAGGTCTTTCATAAATCCTGGGCCCAAGCCTAGATTATGATGATGATTTGCTTCCTACTGCTTTTGTTTCACACAGCTATCTATCTTGTAATGCCACCTTGAAAGAACTCTTCCTTAAAAATTGGTCTCTACATTTTATATATACCCATATATACTTAAGTATAAGCCAACCCGAATATAAGCAAAGGCATGTAATTTTACCACCAAAATCTGGGGGAACTTATTGACTCGAATATAAGCCGAGGGTATGAAATGCAGCAGCTAGTGGTCAATTTCCAAATAAAAATAGATACCAATAAATTACATTGAGGTATCAATAGGTTAAATGTTTTAGAATATTTACATAAAACTGTAATTTAAGATACAACGGTCAAACTCTAATTAAACCATTATTCTGATTTTCTTCAATGTAAATGTGCTTATGTATCCTTCCAATAATAATAGAGAGTGAAATAATAAATGTAATAAAAACAATAATAAATGTAATAACAGTACTAATAGAGTAAAATAACAAATGTAATAACAATAATAAATACAATAAAATAACAAATGTAATAATAATAGTGTAAAGTAATAAATGTAATAAAATAATAAGAGTAAAATAATAAATATAATAATAGAGTAAAATAATAAATGTGATAATAATAATAGTGAGTAAAATGTGATAATAGAGAGTAAAATAATAAATGCAATAAGAATAATAATAAAGTAAAATAACAAATGTAATAATAATAATAATAATAATAAAGCATAAAATAATAACTGTAATAAAAAATAGAGTAAAATACTAAATGCAATAGACAAACACAGAATTGTTTATTATTTATTATTTATTTCCCATATTTCTAACCCGTCCTTCTCAACGCCCAAGGAGGAACTCAGGGCGGCTTATGTAAGTTTGAAACATGGAACGGCTTAGACGACGCTTCTGGAGAATGAGACTAACAGGAAGACATTGGTTAATATATGTTTTTAATGGTTTTATATTATTTTTTATAATGTTGTTTTAAATGTATATTGCTATGGCATCGAATGGCTACCAAGTTGTAAGCCGCCTTGAGTCGCCTTCAGGCTTAAGAAAGGCGGGATAGAAATATCGTAAATAAATAATAGAGTAAAATGATAAATGTAATAAAAATAATAATAGAGTAAAATAATGAAAAAGTAATAAATAATAACAGAGTAAAATTAATAGTAATAATAATAATAATAATAATAATAGAATTAAATAATAAATAATATTGACTTGAGTATAAGGCAAGGGAGGCTTTTCCAACCTAAAAAAAGGACTGAAAAACTAGGCTTATACTCGAGTATATATGGTAAATAATTTCATTCACTTATAAGGAGTCTCAGACCGATAAGTGTTATTGTTGCAGTAGAGTGTGCTGGTCAAGTTACAACTGGTAGTAGAAGAGGAAAGAGGGCTGCTCAGGTGTTGGA